TTTTTCTCAATATATTTTAGACTGTGTTTGTTAAAATCTATACCATGTACGGGTTCTGGGAAGTCGGGGGGGGGAAGGAGGTGGGGGGTCGGGGGGGAGGATGGGGGGAGGGAGGGATATATATTAGGTTAGACACGATGTGTTAGATCTCAATGTAATGTGACTTCACATGTATACTGTTTTTTTTTTTAATCTCTCTTTAAAAATAGGATAAGCCAAGATGGAGAAAATTCTGTAAGAGGTATCCATGTTAATTTCAGTAACCTTAGTACATAGAAACATGAGCTCTGAAGTTCCTGGTCACGTTTCTAGGCCATATATCTGTAAACTAGACTAGTAAAAATACATCGTTAGCAGGGCAATTTTGCAGCACACGGGGGATCCTGTGCAGTGTGAAGATGCCCACAGGCCCAAAAACTTATCCAACAGCCAATCTAGCAGCTGATGCACTCTGGAAAGCAAATGAACTCACATAAACTCTAAATCCATTAATTCTTTCCTCCAGCTTAATGGCTTTACCTGTTGTTCCTTTCACTACCAAAGTGGTAACAGTAGGCTTGACTGCGGACACAGTGACAGGGGTAACGAGTCGTACTCCACCCATAGGGACAGTTCGCAAGAATGTGCCCGGTTGTCCTGGTGCTCCCTTAAGCACTACCTGTGAAAACACACATATTTTTTTTCCACATTAAGCTGCTGAAGTCAAAATGGGGCTTCTAGCATCTCCCAACCTGTCACCTGGCTCACTTGTGTTATGCTTTGCTGTCCGTGACTTGTGGTTAATTTGGGTACTGCTGTAATGATCTTGGCGGGTGTACCAGTGCCAGAGGTCATCACTTTTGTGGTGATAATGGTGATGGGAGACTTAATCCCAGGACTACTAGTAACACCTGAAAATTAAAAAAAAACAACAGAATATGAATGCACACGCAATCCTCTCTCCCCATCTCCAACAACCAGGCTGTGATCTCACTGGTTGCTGTACAACCCAATGGTCCATAGACTGAAACAGGATAACTGCTGTGGCAAATCAAATTCCATTTCTTACCTGTGGCGCCTGCTTGCGTAATAATAGCTGACATGGGGATGGTCTTGATAATAGTGGTGGTATTAGGCTTTGTTGTGTTGGGTGACACACTGCTGATGCCCAGGATGGTAGGCTTAGTACCTGTGCCACCTGCCTGAGAGGTGGTGATGATTGTGGTGGGCTTGCCATCTGCTGAAGTCACTAGTTTCAGAATAGTGCCAGCAGGGAGAGGCCCTTTGGTCTTAAGGGGGGGAGAAAAGAAAACACCAAGAATCAGCATAAAGCAGGAAGTCTCAATATTCTTGCATTCCACAAACAGAAAATATGCTAGAGGGGGGAAAATGACAGGCAAAGAGGAAGAGGAGACATATAGGCAATTGAGGCGAGAATGGCATACACTCTGGGGAGTATCCTAGGATTGGCGTCACATCTGGCATTGTTCCTCCATTGTATGTTCTTACCTGGATTATCTGAGTCACAGGACCAGTTGATGCTTGGCCTGTTACAGCTGATGTCTGGACTGGTTTGGTCTGCACAACAGACATCATTTTTCCCAAATTGGAAATCTGCTCCCCAACAAAGAAAGAGAGAAAGTCTGCTTTAAGATTCCTTCTAATAATATAAAGGGACATGGTCCACTAATTCGCTTAGCATTTATTTGACAAGTAAAATATCCATCAATCATTTATGAGTAGCCTGTTAAACGAAGGCATCTGCTCAGCATTAGATAAAAAAGCTGAGGGCTCACTGAAAATGCTCATTTGTTTGAAAAACAAGTCGACAGAAGAAAAATCCCTCCATTTCCAGCATCCTCTCTTAAACCCCTATCAAAAGAATTATGCTTACCAATGCACTTCCTCCAGGCATGGAGATAGGGCTTTTCACCAATGTGATGGTCTTCGTTACCCCACCCACCACAGTTGTCATCACCTGGGCCTGCTGTGCTACGGTGACAGTGCCTGATTTGTGCACGGTGATGATGGGCCGGGTAGGTGTGTTGGTGGTGGATGAAGAGACTGAGGTGCCCACCTGGGCAGCCGCTGTCTTCAGCATGCGGGTGGCTGGGTTGCTCACCTGCTTGTTAAACAAGATCAGTATTAAAAAGAGCATCTTATAAGAGTCTGTGGAGGCAATATGAATTCTGACACCTTTTTATTACCGATAGAACAGTCTAACAAATGTAAATCTAGGATCCAAAGTGTTTGTCCTATCCCTTTTGACCTGTAATAATTCCAACAAAACTGATGATCCATTCATACTATGGGAATATTACTTGTAATATTCATTCATTTCATTTCATTTATTAAATTACAGGCCGTCCAATCCTGGAGGACTCCGGGCGGCTTACAATGAAAGAAGAAAAAAAAATAGTTTAAAATACACAACACGCATTCGTTCTAATCGGGGCTGGACCTTAACACTAAGGTCAACAGGCCCAGGCCTGCCGGAACAGCCAGGTTTTAAC